GATAGCCTCTGCTTGAGACAAATGGCGTTGATGGAGCGCGTGCGATTTGATCTTGGCGTAGGCGCGGGCGGTCTGTGTTGTGCAGGCAAATTGAAGATCGGGGTTGGAGATTTGTGATTCGTGCTGCTGGTACCGCGCAGCCTCAAGAAGGTCTTTGCATGGGGCCAACGAAGCTCCACAGCAGCTCTATATGGTTGCCTGCCTGTCTTGTGCTCGTCTGTCTTTGACTGGTGTACCGCGAGGGGCGAATGGAGCGAAGGTGTGCTCGCGCGAATAAGCCGTTTGAGGTCGGGAGTGGTAATCAGATGGGCAAAGCTGAATCTTGAATGGCTGAGGTGTGAGATGGATGGTAGGGATGGTACAAGAAGTTCAGAGTGGTGTGAATGCGCGCTCCGTACATTCTCAGCAACTCTGTACAGCTGGATGGTTAGAGGCGGAGCAAATCGTGGGGCTGTGGGATAATTTCAGCGACCCTGTCGTCGCCAAATGCGTTCAAGCTAGGTGCATCGGTGATCCGTCCATCAATGAGCAGCAAATCACGGACAGCAGCAGCAGCAGCAGCTGCAGTCGCTATGCACGAGACATCATGTACCAGTATGGTAGGTACCGTAGAGTAGTAGTAGTACTGCTTACTGTACGAGCTCGACATCAGAGAGACCTCAGGTACCGGGCATTGAGCTAGTTCTTCAGGCTGCTGCACGCGTCTTGCGCTCCCCGCCGCCGCTGCAAGGGCTCGCTGCATGAGCGGCGGTGCGGCATAAGGCAGTCACAGTTTGAGTATCGAGTCAAGATTTAGGGAATCAGTCTCATCTAAAATACGCTCGAGACTGGTGAACACGACCCACATAACACCTGTGTTCAAATCGTCAAATCAAACAAGATCTCCACTTTTTGTTATGTCTGTCACGTAAACTTGATCTCAATTTGTGATCGACCGAACAAAAGCACACCGCCTCTTTTCTTCTTGGTAGAACGGCGCGGCGGACGCAGGTGTATGAGGAACGGGCTCATTCCTGGTTGTCATAGTTGGCGGTCATCGCAATGTCCATCATCACGATGTTGATTCATGATTGACGTGGATGGTCGACGGACACAGAGCAAATGCCGAAACCGCATCGATTCGATGAGGGCGAAGCAGCTTCGGCGCGGGCAGCTCGCAGAGGAACTTCGCCTCCGCCGCTGCTGCAAATCACGATCGCACGCGGAGAGCAAGCGGCGCGGCGGCACACGCTCTGCTGTGCCGTGCACCGGTCGGCGCGCGTCTGCAGGGACACCCCCTCCCATGCACTACTTCAGTCAAATATGTGACCATTCACTCAGAACCCCCACCCCAATACCGCCGTTGGCCCATGCACACCCTGCACTGAGCACACGACTCAAATACCGCTATCGTCTCGAAATCACGAATGAGGCTGTCTCCTATGCGGTACATTTCATCAATCGATCTCTGATTGCCTACACCTGCACACGTTCCGCTCCAGCTTCGAGATTTGATGGTCTTAAATCGACGACGCCATGCAGCAGGTGCAAATAGGTACGGCCTGCCCGCGGCGGAATGCGCGGGAGGTCTTCGCTGATGCTGGCCCCACAAGATGACCTGACTGACTGACTGCATGCTGGTTGGTGACTGGACCTGCGCAAATCTGCGGATCGGAGGCGGGGCGTGCGAATGGACAAGTCTGCATGTTGTATGCTTGGCGTCAAATGACCGCCGACGCCGACTGGCTGCTGCTGCATGGGTGCACGGTAAAGTACCGTACAAGTAGTAGAGAGTGTCAAGAGTAGAGAAGTCGCGAGTCTTTGAGCATAGCAGAGTAGTGTAACCCCATCAGTACATACCATCAGGACGACGGCGTACGAGCCTCCTGCTTTACAGCCTTGAGTACCCGTATATGGGGTACAGACCCTGAACGTATACTGTTGCGTTCCTTGCGGCCCATGCGGGCCCGCTCCATTGATCGGTGCCATTGCAAGAGCATCGCGGATGAAAAGGAGCTTCTCACAGCCATGGCCAGTCGTGAAATCTGCTCTTTCATTAGCACAGCTCTGCGTCCATGAAGCGTACCGCAGGGGTACATAGCTGAGCATGTATACGCAGCAGCTGAGTCACGCGTCCATGCGATCCCCCTGTCTCAGAACGCCCATTTGCAAGCAGCACACGTTGTTGGCTTCTGCCAATAATCAAGCTGGGCGACTCGGGAAAAGCTCCTCACAGTGCCTGACTCACTCAAATTACTCGGTCTGTCATATTTGCACATTGCGAATCGCATTCATCTTGTTGACAATATATGAGGTTCGCTTTGCCCGAGCGCCGCGGCGCAGATGCTCGAGCGCGACGTCGCGTGCGCGTCAGATCGTGCTCAGCACGTTAAAGATGCATGCTGCGTTATCACCGCATGGCACTCACCACTCACCACTTCATGTCCGGAGTATTCTGCAAGAATAACGAATCCGCGGCGTTTCAAAGGGATGGACTCAGCCAGGAGTGTGCTTGCTCTGGCGCATGCCGCACAGCCGATTGCGGTCGGTCTCGTGCATATATGGCTAACTTTCTCGATGCCACATCTCTTGCACATGTGAAGTTCTTTACATGAGACCGCAACACACGCTGTCATGGCGAGGTAGGGTAATTGCAGTAGGCTGACGAATGTGGATGTGGATGAGCAAGTCGGAAAGACTCCTGTAGCCAGAACACAATCATAACAAAGTCTCAATGTGATTCCGACTCGACCCTGATGCAGGGGATGGGAAGCCTGCGAAATTGTGTCTGCTTGTTCTCATCACGACTCACTCCAAGCCTTGATGGCGGATGCAAGCTTGGTCAGCTTGCGCGAGATGGTGTCTCTCGATCCTGATTTTGAGCGCAGATCAGCACATCAAGGACGCTCGAAGGCGGCAGGTCTGCAAGGGGACGCTCCAGGGTCTGCTAGATGATGCAAAGCCACGGGTTTGCCGAGCCAGGCGTCGAACCCGCTTTCTGCGTTGGTGCGTGGCTTCATAATATCGTCAACAGCTGAGCATCAGCTTCGGCGCGCAAGAGCCATTCCGGTGACGAGATTTTGCGGAGTGTGGAAAAGTCAGCATCAAAACACGTAGTTGGATGTGACACTTTTATTACATTTGTCTTGAAACAGAACATCGATCGGCACACCGTGCCAGCAGAGAGACTCGTGACTCGAATTGTGAAATATGATTAAATCAGAATCTTCAATCTTTTCAATGAAAATGTTACCCTTGACTGTGAATCAGGAGTGGCGTAAATGCAGCGCTCTTTTTGTCGCAAGCTTGCAACCGTCCAGAATCATACCACGTGACCACCTGAGCTCCACCTCAATCAGCAATCGTGAATCAAGAATAGCCGTGCAGGCGCGCCCCAAAAGTGAGTCGTGAGTCTAATCATCACGGGTCTCCCCACACCACGTCCTAGCTAGCCAGGATAGGACAATGCGCGGCGATCCTCACAATTCCCCTCTGAGCGCGCAAATCACCGTCCAAGACGTGGTGTTCGCAGAGAAGATTTTCTCGAGCTTGTAGGAGTGCACACGAAGATCTCGCAACATGTGCTCAACATAGTGACACTCTAGCTGAGCCAAGCGCTGCTCTGGAGGACAAATCTGTGCAGCATATCTGATTGCAGCTTGCTTGTATGCACCAGGATGGGGATGCGCAAGAGGAGCAGCGATGATCCTGATCCAAGCGTACCATCCCGGACAAGGACGGGAAAGGATAGCCGCGATGGGCGGAGCAGCACTTTCTCCACACAATCTGTGGAGCGCTGGCTGCTCATCGTCGCAGCATCTCACCGATCTCTGAGCGTTCTGCTGCTCATCCTCTTTGGTCTGCTGCAACATCCATTTGACGCTTCTTCATGCGTCCCACAATCCACCCTTGCAACGCTCTTTACTCGATGGGACACGACGCACTATCTCACCCTCGCCTCTCCTGATCGACGTGGTGCAGAGGGGCATTCGCTCAACGGATCGATCGGTGGATATGGGTGGGAGCATGGCATTGCTTTTCAGCCCGCTTTGCCTTGGATGCTTAGACTCGCAGGCAGCTTGCCACTTGTCATACCGGGCCAGACTTGGAGTGCAGAATCTGCTATCGCCATAACATCGACCCTGTGCGCCCTGAGCAGCATAGCTTGTCCACTCTTGCTCTTCAGGTAGGTGCAGCCAGCGCTGCGTCTGGCTCAGCTCGCAATCCTCCTTGTTCGTATGCTCACGCTGACCCTCATACCGATGCTCACCTCTTCTGCCCTGCCGAACGCCACAGACTTGGTCGAAAGCACACCAATGACGAAATCTTCTCTCTCACGGCCGCATTTTTGAGCATCCTCACACCATCTCCGTGGGCTCAAATCACCCCTACTCCTGAAGCGCCCTTCGCATGCGCCTTTCTCAGCTTGTGTCTCCTCCTGTCTCCGTCCAAAGCCGAAGGCGATGGCCTTGATCCTAGGCCGAGCGGTATCAAGGAGACCTTGGAGCAGAACAATCGACCTGTGCGCGCGGCGCGCTTGGTCCTCGCTGCTGTGCTAGGTGCTGTCTGTAGCGCTCTGCGCGCCAATGGCGTGTTGACCAGCGGGCTATTGCTTTGGCACATTCTGTGGGACGGGGCTGGTGGCCGAGGAGGATGGAAGCTAAGCAGGGTGAGTGGTCAAGAATGGCCTGCTGCATGCGGCATGGCTCATCGATATCTGGTACCTGCGTGCGCTCACCGAAGCTGAATACAGTCCGCTCGCTTGCTCTCCTGCGCAGCTGCATTGCTTGTTCATGCTTCCTCTCGTCCTCTTGCCAGTGCTGCCTTTGATTTTAGTCCAAGTATGGATGCAACAACACATGTGCGGCCCGTCTCGCGCTCAAGCTCGCAACGGATCGCTTAGCGAGGAAGCACGACTACCGCCTTACTGCTCAGACGGGCCGTACAGCTTCTCTGCCTACAGCTACGTGCAAAAGAGGTACTGGAATGTGGGACCATTCGCCTACTGGACCATTGCTCAATCGCCCAATCTGCTCTTGGCTGCACCGATACTAATGCCCATGCTGGATTGCGTTTGGACCTACTACTCTTCAGACTGGAAGAGCGTCTGTCGACGAACGTTGCAACCTTGGTCGAAAGGCGCGCATGTGCACCACACGTCAGGCGTACAATCACGGTTGCTCACGCGCCATGGCCCACACTTGCGAGGACGCATCTTAACGATGCAGAGTGCTCCGCATATGCTCGTCGTCGTGCATCATGCTACTCTATCGGCGCTGCTCTTGATCATCATGGCGCACACGCAGATCTCCCTCAGGCTCGCCATAGCACTACCAGTGGTCTGGTGGGGCGCTGCCGACTGGGTCTTGCAGGGCGAAGAAGGCACAACCGGGTCGAAGCGGAGAGAGTTTTGCGATGCGAAAGACCAAGGCGAAGCGCAAGACGATGGCAAGTCCTCTGGGTCCGGGAATGATTCGAGAAGCTGTGCAACGGGTGCTGGGGGAAAAGTTGCAGTGGCTCTTACCCCTAGAGCTAGGTACCTCGTGGGCTTTCTTGTCATGTGGAACATAATCAGTTTGGCCCTGTACGCCGGCTTTTATCCTCCTGCTTGAGCGAGCGAGATGATGCCGATATACTTTACTTGCCTACGCTCTACCGTGTCCTGCTTCATTCAGACCCCAGCTTGGCAGGTCGAATAAATCTCCCCACTTGTCACACGTTCACGCAATGTGCGACGTCTCATGGATGATATTGTCGCAAGTCGTCTTGAGAGTGTTTTTGAGCCTCGTCTTTACATACTAAGCTTTCTGTCATCGATGCGTCTCGACAGTGAGGTGAGGCGAGGGGGAGGGGAGGGCGACCCAATACGGCCGAGCGATCAGGCACAGCTCAGAGGGAAGGCATCCTGCGAACCTCCTTGTTTTCGTTCTTTGTATGTTTGCGCAAACGCCACCCTAGCCTGCCTTCCGTCTCGAAACTGGCTCGCCACCTCTCGGGCACGGGTTTGCGTTCAGTCAGCCAGTAGAACAGATCCCAATCGGGCTCATCCAGGAGCTTGCGAGTGGAAGAAGGGGCGGGGAGGCGCGAAAAGGCGGGGGCGGGGGCGGTCGAAAACAACAAAAGTGGGCGAAGTTCAGCTTGCTACCACTTTTTTTTTTCCTTTTTAACCACTTTTGAAAAGGGGTCGGGGGGGATGGGGAATGGGGGAGGAACTCACAATGTCGAATTCCAGCACTTCTATATCTGGCATGTTTTTGAGATGTTGCTGAGCAAAAGTGGAGAGCAGCAAGTCCGTCTCCAACGTTCCTCTCTTCCTCGCCTGGTACATCAACCTTGCGATCCGCCTTTCCCTATCCTCATCCTCTGGACCTCTACCAGGCAGACGAATAGGAACCGGCGTTTCGTCCTGCTTTTGCTCCACGTCGATCGCTTCTCCCACGTCCGGCGGCGCACCTTCCCAGGAATGTGCACCCTTCAACCCTGATGATTGGGATGCGCTGCTAAGGTTCACGCCTTCAAGACGCGGATCAAAGGGAAGAGGAAATGGATCGGACTCGTGCGAGGGAGCAGGAGTGGAGGAGTCGCTGTCGCTGCAAGCTTTCATTTCTTCTTCTTTGATGCGGGACGAAGGAGAGGGAGAGGTGTAGCCTGGATCTACGCCTGTTCCTACATCATCCTTCAGTAATGTGCGCGTAGTGAACAAACCTTTTCGAAATGAGCCCAACGGAGAGGAGAAGGAGGCTCCAGCTGCGGGTGGTGCGGCTACGCAGCGCAAGAGATGACTATTGCTGCTGCTGCTGCTACTGCTGCAATGTGAGTGTCGAAAGGAGCACAGTCCTTGTCGAGCGACTGCAGCGCACAAGGATAGATACCTCATCAGCCCTGCGTTCATCGTCTCCTTTGCAAAGGTAAAACATCTCCAACTTACTTCGTCGGAGAGCCATGGCTGGGCTGATGAGGAAAAGTGACTGGAAACTTGTAGAAGTGCGCACTATCTGCTTACGTGCGCGCTGTAGCTCTTGTGCTCCTCGTGGCGTTTGTTTGAAGAGGATCGAGGACAACGT